ACATTACAGACATAGTCATATCTTGTGACTGCAGTCAACTGAAGCTGTACACAATGAAACTGGTTGTCTTACTGAACTTCAGAAATCTTAATAATGGAAAATGTAAGGAAGAAACCTAATAAACAGACAGGAAAAAAAAAATAAGAAGAAAAATGCATAATCTCTCTCCGACAGATTGCTGTGTTGCTGAAAGCCACACACGGTGTGACAAGACATGGTATTTCATAAATGTAGTCAGACCTTCTTAATGTTTGATTAATCCTAGGCAGAAAAAAAAAATAATTTTTGTGGGTTTTCCTTGACAAATTAAATAGAAATCATTTATGTACTTTTTTTTTTTTTTTTTTTTTTTGGTGGCCTAGTGGAATAATAGGCTCAGGAGCCTGAAAATCAAGGATGAACTTTACTGTAAAGTTCATTGCCAGAAAAGAAATCCACTGTTTTGTCATTGCTGCATTGCAGAACCTTTTTACATTTTTGTGGGTGTAGAATAGTCAGCTGTTTGTTTCCATAAACAGCCTAGCTAAGTAGCAGATGTTTCCTTGGGCAGTTGTTCAATCTATCTAGAGAAAAAAAAAATAAAAAAAAAAAAAAATTCTTTGCCTTCCAGGCTTCTGACAGGTTTGTTTCCAGCTCCTGATTTCCTTTCCCTGCTGAAATGTTCAACCTTTATAGCAAGCTTGCACAACAGGTGGGCTGTGGGTCTCTTGCAGCTTGAAAAACCATTTGTTTGGCCCATCAGCTGCTGAGAAACGTCATGTACTCTTTGATTTGCCCAGCTGCCAAGAGGCAGCAACAAGATGTCCAGCAGAAAATGCACATCTCCTAACTTGTCACTGATCCTTCAGAATGCATGTATCTCCTAGTCAGCCACCTGGTCAACCAGCAGACACATACCTCCACATACACACTTTGCCTCACAGGTCAGGGGAGGGATGGTACTTAGTCCAAAGGGAAAAGGAAAATGGGAAAATAACAATAGGAAGGAAGCTAAAATAATGTTCTTATGGGTTAGCAGAGAAGCAGCGATGTCACAAGGGAAAGTGAAAATGTATTTTCACTCTGAAAATGACATGATAAATCTGTTTGACAACACTGGCTCTTCAATAAACTGAAGCACCTTTCTGCTAGAAGTCCCATGCAATAATAAATGAATAAGAAGCCATAGCATTTACTAAGCAGCAAGAAAAACTGAATAACTGTTGAGAAAGTGCCAATTCAATTAAAATTCAAAATTTACAAGTTTATGTGTGTATATATATTTAAAATTTCCGAGATGTTTTATTGAGAGAAAATGCAATAAAAATGTATAAAGAATCAAGTACTTTTATTTTCTTGGGATTAATTAATTAATACCATAGATAATATATGACCATTAGTTTACATGACATTATATAGTTGGATGACCTCATCTTTGAGGAACTATGGGACAAAATGGCATTGTTTCTGGTTAAGAGGAAGCAGGACAGAGACATAAATGAAAAGACAGGAAGAAGATGCCCTGAGAGAAAGATGGAAAATGACTAAACAGAAGTGACCTTATACTGGCCATCATAGCCAATATCATGGGAAGAATAAATGAAGAAATGTCTAAAGAAAAGACATTTTAGTTAAATTGACTGCAGAGAGAATTGATCTCTCACTTATCTGAAAAGAAATAGATGTCCTGTCATTTGAGGATATTAAAAACTGTTTTCAAAAAATAATTAGATAATTTGAGAGTAGTCTTGCACCAGAATATGTGTCTAATCTATGATTAGTAAAGAACAGTAATCTACAAACATAAACTCAAATGAAACTTGATATTTAGAGTATTTAGGGCAATAATTCTGATGCAGTTGGACTTAGAAATAAAGAGAGAAAATAAAATAGGACTAGAATAAGTGACTGAAACGGGCTGGACAAACAGACTGGAATCAGGCACTGGAAGACACTGAGAGGGAGCTAGTAATAAGAAATGTCTGGCTGACAGTAACTGAGACTGAAGCTGGGGGACCACATGATTTGGACTCACTAGACAAGAAACAGGATCTAGTGGCTGAAAAGAGACGGAAAGACATGGGACAGGAAACAGTGCAAGAAAGTACTGTGAATTTATCTGAAGAGAAGTCTCTTAAAGGGAGAAATCTTGACTAGTACCCGGATAGGTGGCATACTGATAGATATTTGGAAATGTCTGAATCTTGAATCTTGCTTAACAATAGGAGGTGCAAGAAATAAAGATGTTGGAGTTACGACTGGATATAAATATAAATCTTCATTTAAAAGCCTGATTTGTATGAGATTCCCCCCCCCAAAAAAATAATATATATATATATATATATATATATATATATATATTATATATATAATATAATTTTTGTATATATACATATTATATATATATATACCAAAAAAAAAAAAAAAAAGAGAGAGAGAAAAAGAGAAGAAAAAGGATTATAAGGCTTGGATATGGATATTAGGACTGAAACAAATGGCAGAGACTGAGGAAAAAAAAAAGAAAAGAAAAATAAATCTTGATGGAGACACATTTAAAAGAGCTATGGGTTGCAAGAAAAAGGAAAGGAAGCATGAAATGTAACCCAAGATTATACTCATTTATCTCAACAAATATCTGTAAAACCCTCATGTCAAAATGGTCGTTCCTTAGACCACACTACTCATGATAATTAATTACAATTCATCAGTTACTTTGTTAGTTTTATCAATGTGAATCTAAAGATTCAAGTCCAACTTCATCCATAAGGTTGTCAGATATCATCTCACTGTGAAACTTCTGACTTTTTAGATTATTTGTCAAAAAAAAAGTAAGGCAAGACACTCAACTTCTAGGAAAAGCCAAAATTAAGATTTAATATATGAAAGAAATTGAGAAAGTTTTTCACACCTCTCCTGTAAAATATGATGCCTAATGATGAAAATGTTGTATAAAAAACAGATGTTATATATAGCATAAGAACACACACTGAGCCCTGGAGATAAAGAAAATATTGGATAGATATCCATTTATTCAACTCCATCCTTGTCCCCTGCACTGAATGAGGTACTGTGCAAAATACAGTATCTAATCACATAATTAAAGATTATATCATGATGCATACACAAAGACAGCTGAACAAAGGTGCGGAAGACAGCCTTAATTCTGCCATTTCCTAATTTTGGAATGCTTGACTTTACAGCCTTGATAGTAGCCTTTTCCAATAAAGTTTTTGATCTCATAAGAAATATCACATATTTAGGCATGCTTTTGTCCAAGATTTTTACATCAGAAATAGAACTGTATGCACAAGCCTCACAGAACCACCAAAAGTTCTTTTTCAATGTGGAAGTCCTTTAGATATCTATCTTTCAAACACATACATAGCAAGAAAGGATCAAAGAGTATCATTTGCTGAGATTATTACACTGATTTTGCTTGTTGAAAAATAGATTAAACAAGTTTCAAACCAATGTAGAAAATGGGTTAGGTTTTCATACAAATGACTGAAGCTGTATCTAAGCAATTTTTATTAACTTTGAGGGCAGCTGCAGGACAGCAGGACAGCTTTTTTCCTAGTACTTAGGTGGTAAAATGTACACATTAGGTTCCTGGTATATGCAAAGTTAAATCATAATTTCTTTCTCACTCTTCCTCTGTAGCCTTCAAAGACCTTAAAAGTAACTTCATATAGGACTATGCAGTCAGTATGCTGAGTTGCAGTTGCTCTCTTTCTCTATTCCTGGATCTGTTCAATATTTCCATTTCCTGTCTTGTCCTTTCTGGGAGGGAAAAAGTCCCTCTGCTTGCTTGCTGATGAGATAAAGAGTGTGAGAGAGACTGTGAATGGAGTAGAACAGATGGTCCAGGAAGCTTTTATACGCATGGTAGCTGAATGGCTTTTTTTACAACAGGAAGAGGTAGTGTGAAACCATTTAACATTATACCTTACTGTGCTGTTAATATAGAACTGTTAATACAGGGCCTACAGAAGAGGTGAAGAGCTAGGATAAAGCCAAGAAGAAACAGTTTGTGGGAAAGGACTTAAAAAGCTTAAGTTCATTTTGCTAAGGGACAGAAGAATAGTTAACAGACTCATTTGGAGAAAGGCTGATAACTGCTACAAGACAAAAATAAAATAAAATTGCAGCAGAATAAGAACTTAGTGTATGAAAATCCATTTGTCAGAGAAAAAAAAAAAAAGAAAAAGAAAAAAAATAAAAACAGGAACAAATTTTGGGCTAGAGGAGAGTGTGTAGTAGGAAAAAACTGACAGAAATAGTGGAATAGGACAGGAAAACTTGGAGGACAGGCAAAGCGCAAAGGGTCTCTTGGAAAACAAAGAGACGTTTTGGGAAAGAAAGAGCAATAATAGGTCTGAGAATTCATGGAAACTGAACAGGCTGAGGAGGAAAGTCTGTTAGTAGCAAATGATGAATCTGGCTTCAGAAGAAGGCAGCATAAGACTATGCAGAATTTTGAAAAGGAAGCAGAAAAGTTACAGGATGAAGCAATCACTAGAAATTAGGAAAGAAGTGAAGAAAGTAAGCAAAACAGCAGCCTGAGATAGAGAATGTGGTTAAGCTTCCTGTTCTTATCAGCACATTTTGGGAAGAAAGCACTGAACCAAGAACAATTTGGGAAATGGAAAACATGAGAGCCCATATGAAAGGAATGGTCAATGGGGAAGACTGCAGAATCAGATTTTTTTTTTAGATGAATTTAGATAATGTGTAAAGGGAGCTGTGATTAAATACAGGGAGGATTATGAATGTATAGGATTTGGGAGGGAAATTACTGGGACACGGAAAATTAGGAATGCTAGACTTACGGAGGAAAAGAAAAAATAATAATGTAGGCAGACAAATACATGATAGGTAAGCGGATGAGGAAGAATAAAATCAGTGTGGGGGAAAAAAAAAAAAAAAGTAAGAGTAGCAGTAAATGTCATTGTTCTTGTGCTTAGTAAGAGGTCCGGTAACAAAACAGTATAGAAAAGTCAAACATTATCTTTGTATGGTACCTTTTTGTGTGGGATGAGGGGGTCTTGGGAAACCGGATTGGGAGCTAGGCATAGGCATCTAGTGAACCTACAATATGTATGGAGAAGAGGATAATCTGCTTTATTATTATTTTAAACAGAAGCAAAAAAGAAAACATTTAAAACTAGTGTCTACACTAGTTCCTTGTAACTTAGTATCTGTTTGTATCTGTTAAAAAATATCTAAGTATATCCAAGACTCACATTTGGATTATCTATTATCTTCTTAGTATTTTACAGATATTCCAGGAAGCTGTTTTTTACCCAGTATTTCAAAGTACTAATAGTTATATTACTTTTTACAGTCTCATATACAAATTCCCACTTCTTAAAATCTGTTTAGACTTTATTAGACTTTATTCACTAAAAGTGAATTTGAATGAGTTGAGTGCTACATGATGAAAAAAAAAAAAAAGGACATAACCCATTTATTGACAAATGCAGTTAACTTTTACACTTAAATTACTCCTATTCCTTGCACACAAAAGTGATAGCTAAAATATTAACAGTAAATACAAATTCTAGTTGACAAGAATCCTTTTATTTATAATATATAGAATCTTTATTCTAAAACATTCCATTGTCTAATATTTTCCTTAATGCTGAAATTATCCTTGGAATTTCAAATACTTTGCTTCACCACAGAATGCTGTAGCTCTCCCTTCTACATTTCCTTGCTTACTTACAGAATTGCACAGCATGCTCAATATAGTAAATAAATAAATAAATAAAAACTAATGATTGCAGATAAAGACACTCACCCCAGACTTGCTTTGATACAAATAAATACAGGTATATATTTGAGAAGAATAAGAAAGGCATAAGTAATTCCCTACTAAGTACTTTTTCCTAGAACCTGAAAGCATGAATAAGCTACTATTATGTTTTTTTATTAGAGAATATAATGTATATTCTATAGAATAATTCTTCTATTGTATGTACAAGAGTATATAAAATATATTTTACAGATAAAATGGAATGATATCACTGAAATTTTGCAAAATTGGAAGGACAATTTTTGTTGTCTCTGTGAAAGCTCAAAAAAGTGTTGGAAAATTCCCAGTTTCACCCACTGGAAAGGTTTTGTAGAGTTTTGCAACTAAATTTTCCAAAGAGAACATCCATACTAAGCATTTTGGTGCTGAATGAAGCAGCTCTTTCCCTGCAACTCTCTATCCTCATTTCTGCAAGCCATTGTCATGCTATATATTGAAATGGGAACAGAGATCTTTGTTTATCTCTCAGTTCTTCTCTTTCCCAGGCAGATACAGAAGAAGAAACAGAATGTGTATAGACTAGTAGGAAATGTGAACTTGACAGTGAGGCAGGATAAATGGAGAATACAGATTGAGATATGTTACGAAACAGGAAAGTCTGGTAACAGGGAATGTTAATGGAGTGTAGAGTCTAGAAATGTCAGGACAAGAGAAGGAAGCAACAGAAATAGTCAGATAGATGGGAAAAATCTTGTAATGAAAGAAATAATCAGGGTGGCATGAAACTGAGTTCAGGAAAGAACACTGTAAGAATGGTACCTAAGGACTGGGAGGTTGGAGTGGGGAAAAGAACAAGATGAGAAAAGAACAAAGCATTTTTGACACAGGAACAAATGAGATTAGTCGTTGACAAAAGGTGGAATTTGCATAGGAAGAGAGAAACTAGGAGGAACTGGGACACAGAGGTATAGGTGTAACATGCTAAATGGGACACAGAAAAAGGAAAGGAAATCCTCCTTGTGGAGGATTGGAGCTAAACACAAAGAGTCCTGACATAGCATTACCCATCTGTTATCGACTGTTTATGAAACCTGTCACCCTGTAAGAGCTGATCCACAAAGACAATAAGCTCCTGCAATTATATTTTTTGTTATTATGTTGTAAGGCTACATACACATGGTAGATCTAAAAGTTCCAAACTCTTATATGATGATTAAAGTTAATATATTAAACTTCAAAAAATTGCAGTCGATTAAATTAATTTCTTGTGTTGTTTTGTTGTTGTTGTTGTTGTTTGTTTGTTTGTTTGTTTGTTTTCTTTTCCTTAAATATATATGTGTGTGTGTGTTAATACTGTAAAGCAGAGACAGGAAATGTCAGAATAAGGTTGCCTTTGCAATATAATCCAAAATCAGGATCGTTATGTGGTAGTCTTTAACTAAATAATCATGTTATTGATATAATCAATATTGATATTGATAATAATGTTATTTTGTGGGGTTTTGTTTGTTTGTTTTGTTATATCCTCTTGAACTACCTTGGACAGATAAATCGAGGAAAGGTCAACATTACTGAGCACATTGCTTATAAGACCTTGATTTCATTTGTTACACAATTGGAAACATGAAATGAGCACAAGAAGGCAAAGAATAGCTGGAAAAGAAAGGATGATCATGATTAAAAAGCTGAAGTGCTATTTCTACGTAGCGTGGGATAAGTCTTTTAGAATACATACTTCCAAAATACTTAGTTTGTTTCTGTGTTGCTTGTCTTATGAATATCTCAGTCCATAAGGGAACTGGATTCAAGGGGAACAGTAATTTGAATACAATGAACACGTTTGCCAAAAATGCAAAATAGTCTCAAAAATCAGGTCCTAGTTACTTGATAGTAAAGCAATTTATCATCTCTGGTTTTTGTGACTTTCACAGATTTAAAATGGGAATACTCCAAACTATGCTTCCTTGCAGGTATGGTCTGAAGATAAAGTAATTAATGTTTGCAAGGAACTCGGACACTGCAGTGACTCCTGTAACAGAATGGCCTCTGAAGAAATTAGAAGTTTGTCTTTGTACCAAAAAATAAATAAATAATAAAATGTCTGCATGTAGTAATGTAGTCTGGATGTACGAAGTAGCATGATGTCTGGATTCTTTCTAAGCCAATAGATTGGCCAATTGGTGCTTTGAAGCAGGCATACATTTTATGGGAAGAAAAACAGGATTCTAGAACAACATATGTGTCATAATATGTACCCACTTCCCAGGCAACATTCAATCTAGCATATTCTGACCTTTGCAATATGGACTTGGCAGACATAACATGCAATATAAATCTTCTATATTTATGTGTATATATATACACTTGTGTGTTATGTATGTATATACACTTGTGTGTTTGTCCCATGTAAGGACTTGTTGCCTGTTTTGTATTTGTGTATATGGCCAAACATTAAAAGATTATTGACTTTTTTTCTGTTATTACAGCCTCCTTGTGGCACACTAGTAACAACGCTTTACGAATTAGAAAAAAGTGATTAAATAAGACACAGATGATGTCAAATGATACTGTTAAGATGTTTGACATCAAAATGAAAATAAAGGCAATTGAGAGTGATTACTGGTGCTAATCATTTTAGACTTGCCTTTGAAAAATGCACCTTCATTTACAATTGAAACCAAATGTTAATTTTGTTTTTTAGTATTCACATAGGTAGCTTTAGCTTGTTAACTAGAGAGGACATGACATGTATAACACAAATGCTATCTTATAAATTTGTTCTTTACTAACATTTTGATGTTTGCAATATATATAAATTTAGATTCACAGGGGAAGTAATAAAGCTCTCTTTTGTATTTCATGTATAACTTTACTAAGCAGATTTGTTTTATTAAAATGTAAATAATGGGATGTGGTAAATGAAAGAAAAAAGAAAAAAAAAAACATGAAGAGAATAAACAATGTATTTATTCTTAATGTTCAGAGTAGTGTATTGAAACACACCTTTCAGTAGCTGCCACTGAATATTGGCTTGAAATTCTCATCATGCCTTGAATGTTACCCATTATACCATGATATAAATGGTTTAGCCATTTATATCATTAAAAGGCTCAAAATATTTCTAATAGGCCTTTGAAAACATTGTTATCCTAAATCTAACTACACATATGCACAAAAAATGCATTCAGCAAGTCTAAGATTCAGCAAGTCTAAGATTCAGCCCAATATTACTTCAAATTAATTATTCTTCTTTAATTCCACTGTATAAACAGAAATGACCTATTAATTTAAAGAAAATCTATCAACACAAAATGTATTCTCTCTTATAAACAAGCAAGATGAACTTGACCTTGTTTGAACTTGTTTTGATGTGGCCCAGATGGTAGGCTACATGCTTGAATAGCAGTCTAAAGCTGAGGAAAAACTCATATAGCAAGATCTAGATTTATAGCCTTTTGCAAATTCCTACCTTGTATTGTCCTTTCAGCATCTGTTCTGCCCCCGCTGCGGTCAGCTTCTATCTCTGGGGTCAGAGAGTCTAGAAGCATAGAAAGGTAAGACTGACACATATTTCATTCGATTCTTATAGCCCTTTTTACAACCTGTTACTCTAAATCTGAATTACAATAAAATCAACCTTTGTCAGTTTTTTTAATGTTGAACAATGACTGGAGGCCAGGACAATTTTTTGTTAGGCTAGAAAGATTAATGAGCAATAGATATTTCAAGCATAAAGGTGAGAAGAAAAAGAATAATATTAAAAAAAAAAAAAACACTAATAATATAAAATTGTCCTAGTTGGGACATTCCCTGTAGTGAATTTATTTGCACATACTATATAAACTAACAAAGCAGAAAAGAGAGAAGCATCACTTGAAAGAAGAAAGAATTTCTTTTTTATTTTTTATTTTTTTACCCTCCCACCATGCTTTAAATTTTCAATAAAACCACCTTCTTTGGGCACTTAAATTGAACGTTAATGACACAGAAGCAAAAACTAGCTTCTTACCATTTAGGACCCTGAGACTATCTGTTGAAGCTGCCTGTTTCAGTGTCTGTTCTGCTTGCTCCCGTCGTTTAGTCTCAAATTCAAGTGCTTCCTGCAATTTCCTCTTTGCCTTCTTTTCCTTCTTTAACCTTTTCTGAATTATTGCTAGGAAGAAGAAAATCAGTATACTCAAATTCAGATCTGAAACTTGGCTTCATGATTATATATTAAGAGTTCTAAGAAACAATACAACTGCAACAGTTTATATAAATTGAGTAATTATACAATATCAACTTAAACTATTTGAAAGTTTTGAGAATCACACTGGGATATTTAAAGAATTACTGTTCTGTACCATGCTATTGAAAACTGTAGGTGATATTCAGCTACTGCATAACGTGTTTGTATTTTTTTTTCTTTTTTTTTGAAAAAAAAGTCATTCTTTTTTTTTTTTTTTTAATAAACATATGAGGATCTGTGAATGTCCAAATTAGAAAACCTTGGGACTAACAATAAAATTTACATCTTTCATCATCTGATGTAGATATGCCTCTGTCTCTGGAGCTGAAGTTTTTGAGGGATTAAGTACACAATTTTATCTCTTGTAGCACATAGTATATGCACAGTAATCAAGTTCTCATCCATGGCTTCTCTCCTCCAACAGCCAGTGCCCCAAATGCAACAGGACCTCAGCCCCTGCTCTGCTTCACTCCATAGAGAAAAGCCCTCATCTTTCAAATTGTCCTCCAAGCTGCTGCTTGCTTCAAGCCATCCAACCTCTTGGTGCCTGGTCTCTTCCTCGTATTTATCTCTTATCCATATTTGTCTTTTCTTTTATTCTTTAAAAACAAACAACAAAAAAAAAAACTTCACTTTTTTTTTCTTCTCTGACAGTTCTGGTCTCATCGATCTTGAAGAACTCATAACAAACTCTACAGTTGGAATACCTGGACAGATCCCCCAGCCATGTAAATATTAGTTTGTATGTCAATTGTAAGGGAAAATACTCAGAAAGTAAGGAGTCTTCTAAAATTCAGTCTAGAAGGCACTAATTTAGAAAATGTTTTCCCTCTATCTTTTGTTCATATTCTAAAAGAAAAAGGGTTACAAGATCAGTATATAAATGAATCATACAGGGGTTGTTTAAAAGAAGCTCCATTACGATTTTTTTCTATGTTAACAACGAGTTCCTTCCAAACTGCACAAACTGCAACCTTACAACCACAAAAATACAACTTGTATTGAAGTAACTAACTCCTCCCTAATTAAAGGAATATATCACAGGTTACTTCCCCAATGGAAAGGGTAATATGAACTTTTTTTCCTTTTTTCTTTTTTTCTTTTTTTTTTCCTACTCAGTAAAAGCCAAACTGAATCTCTAAAGAAATCACAAAAAGCCGTAGAGCACATCCACGAAACCTAAACCTTTCTTACATAGCATGTTTAGGGTTTTCAGAGATGTGCATATAAGAAGCTTAATTTCCATAACAACTTCCTGGGCAACCTTTGCTAGAGAACCAGTTATTTATACATTAACTACAGAAAAATTATCATCACCAAAACCAGATATTAGGTGATACTAGATTTGACTAAAATAAATAAATAAATAAATAAATAAATAAATAAATAAATAAATAAATAAATAATCTAGCACTGTATCCTGCTCCAAAGTAATCTCTTGAACATGCTTAGGGAAGAATGCTGGAAAGGATAAAAATCTGCTTCCACAAGCTTATGCACCCCATTTCCAGTAGTCTGTGCTGGTGATAATAATGATTTATTTAAAGGGAATTATTGCTATGTAATTTATATGCTAAGAATAACTGCTTCTTGGGTACTCTTCGATATTTTTTGTTGCTATACAGAACTGTTCAGACACAAAATATATATAAATACATATCCTGTAGTGAAAATAGTTACATCCAAGACTTTGGAATTTTGGCTTTTTGTATATTTTGTATATTATTGTATACTTATATATATTTTATATAGTACCAACTATTTTACAGGCATATTGTCTTACACTGTCAAAAAACATCTAGTATATAAAGGCTACGCTAAATACATTTTGAAACATTGCAGTTTTAATGTTTTCACTATAAGTACTTTGAAAGTGATTGCAATAAATGAGAAGGAGACATATGTTGCTTTCTGAATTAAAATGTCATCATGGCTGACACATTGTAGATGTGAGTACAGCAGTCAGAGCCAGAATTAGCAAGCCCTTACTGTGTAGCTGCTCACAGAAGAGATATTATCCTACTTTCACTGGTTGATGAGACATCCTACAGCCTCACTAATTGGAATATTTACAAAGGAAGGAAACAGTACAGTAAATAAGCAGCACTGTAGAACATATAGTAGCGGCAGTGAAATTAGTGTCCCGTCCCCCCTCCCTATATATAAAAAAAAAAAAAAAAAAAGTAATATTTGACTTGTGTTAACATGACAAGCAAAAGACAGACATTGATACAGGTTACCTTGTGCTCTTGTGCTGAAGATTCCATTTATCTAATGGACTTCGACCTGTGTGTGACAGAGTGCATGTTTCTATGCCGTAGTTTTTTAAGCATATTCGGGTTTTTCGTAGGATAACTCTTAACTAACTAGAGCTGTGGTACAGTTCTCTCATTTTACTCATGCTTCCATTAAGATGTGAAACTTTCTTTGAGACATGACATTTGCTATTTGGAAAACTAATGTCAGGTAAAGCCTCCTAAGCATTTTTCTATCTTTAATTGAAGAATAAATTCTCAAAGTAATTACAATCTGACCTTATTTGTTTCTCTCCTATTTGGCTCTGCTCATTTTAAAGAATAATCTACTATTTTTCTTTGTTTTATACAGAAGTATCCACTATTAAAGATAGTCATCCTCATTAAATTCTCTTTACTATATACCATTATTAAGTGCTCAGAACCATTCCTCTTTGGTCAGACTCTTTTACCAGTGCAATGTCATCATTAAAAGGATACATATAAAAGAAGCAGATAGTGCATAGTGCTGAGAATAACATTGTAAAGTATTTCATTTCACTATCCTAAATAAAATAAAGGACTATCACATGTTCTTTCTTGACATAGAACTTTGAGCAAAATTGCTTTTACCTAATTTTAACCAGTGAAAGCATGTGTCTAATTCAACCTAGTCAAATGTTTTTGTTTTAAACAGGAAGAGAAAGAAGTTTCACAGTGTAATTGACACCACCTACTTGTCCGAGAGAAGAATGTAGGAATCTCTTTCTTTATTGAAATAAAAGGAATTTATAATATTAGCTTAAATGAGGTGCTTAATTTCTATATGGAAAAATGCAAGTAAGGTCAGAGGGGTCCTCTAAAAAAGGGATATATGATTGAGGGGTTGTGAAACACAGAAGTAGATATGGATGTGGAGAATAACTGGGCCATTTTAGAAAACTTCTTTAAAGGTGTAAGTAATGCAAGTGTACTGACTAAAATAGGCCAGTTGTGGACAAAAGGATGATTCATTGCACAGTTGTGATAATTGTTAACAGTAGTTGTCTTTAAAAATGTATTATTATAAGTTTAAAAGGGAAATTAATGATGCAGCAGTCCTACTCTTTAATAGGTCAAGACATGATATAGAATTACATTGCTTACTTACAGGTAGAATGTTAATTAAAGGTATAATGATATTGGTCATGAATCCAAGAGTTCTTGGGGTTCCTTAACTCAATGGTTCACAGAAAAATAAACTATAACTCTATCCCTGAAAAACTATTTATCTGACTTGTCATGTTCTGTGTTAAACAGGAAGCTAGCCCCAGAGGTTAACTGCTCCTTGGGAAGTAATCAGACAATACTAAAGAGCAATAAATAAAAAAGAAGAACCGTAAAGGAAGATGGGAACATGCTCATAATGCAAATAGTTATGTAAATCACTATAAACTACCTTAACTTTACTACCAATGTTTTAGAAAAGTGTACTTATATAAGTGTATATTATATATAATATACATACGATCTACTGTATACCATATATAATGTATATACTTTATATCATTCTAATAATGTAATGAAATTATAAAGAATTAATTAACAAGTATATATATTTACAGTGAGGGTTTTTTTCAAGAAGAACCTTAGCTGTTCCTTCTATAAACGTGTTTGAACTGATGCATTATACAAGGCTTACATATTACTATTACCTTTATATTTATGACATACAATTTACCTAAATATGCAATGCATGACTCTATCACATAAGAAAAAAAATGAATTCATAACACCTTGCAGCTTTTGATTTGATAATAGTTGTGTTTGTATTAAGTAGATATTCCTTTTCATAATGATCACAACCTGACAAAGTCCACAACTTCTGCATTTATAATTGTGCTGTACATTTCTGATACGTTGGAACAAGTCAAAACAAAACAAAACAAACAAACAACAAGCAAACACAAACAAACGAACAACCAAAAATATATATCACACATACATAAGAAAAAGGCACATTTGTTATAAATCTCATAAAGATTCTATGCAGAATCAGGATTCGGCAGGGTGCAAAATTTCCTGTATAGCAGTCAGCAGAAACATAACACAAGCGTAGGAGAAAAGTTTTGATCAAACACGGGTGCTTGATGGAAAAATAGGTTTCCAGAGAAAATATATTTCAGGTATTTATGTTTGCTTAATGAAGATACCTCTGTTCTTCTGCTCCACAGCCAACTGTTTTTCAAGTGTTTCCCTCATTTCTCGTTCCCTGAAGAGCTCCATCTTCAGCTCTGTCTTTTCCAGTTGGACCTGTTTCTCTTGAGCTCTAGCATTGTCTATAGCAACCTTTAGTAGACCCTGTTCAAAGATAAAGTTGGATATTTTAATGTTTAAAGAATGTTAGAACAGCTGACATAATAAACAACTTCTGTTATTTATCTTTGATTACTCATGTGAGATTTTACAAATGAAACAGTCCTGTTACTGGGTCAAAGCCTCCCAGTTATCAACAGCAAATTTTTACTCCAGTTAATTTTAAGAGGTGGACAAAAAATCTGTAAAAAGTAGGGAGTCAAGCTTTCACAGATGACATAAACTGGTCTTTAACTATGCATATAACTAATGTGAAAAAGTTATAGTAGTAGGTTTATTCTTCATAAGAGATTTGAAAAACAAAACAAAACAAAACAAACTATATCAGCAACTTGCCTGTAACCAAAAAAAATTTGTTCCATAGAAAAAGAATTGGCAGTCACCCACAGAATGATAAATTCAGCCTCTAGTACTGCTCAAGCTCCTTATTGTTGTTAGTTGTTAGTTATTATTATATGTCATATTATTTCCAAGGAAGATTATGTTATTGGGTTACTAAGCTGAGGACATTCACAAAGCAGGAAGATCTCTTTGTCTTAAAAAGTCCATTTGTATATTAAAAGTCCATCTTGTACAATTTTTATCTCACAGCAGAGGACAAAACATAATTGTCTCTTACTTTCTTGACCTGGGATGGTCAGAAAAAAGTCTACTTTTTTTGTTTTATTGTATCAGGAAATAATGATCCAGCCTATACTATTTTTTTCTTGAGAATTCAACTCCACAATTCCACAAATCTTTTCACAGGAAACAGACAGAACCTAGCATAGCTAATAACTAGTTAGTTAGGTCACTGAGATAAGCTATGAAAAAGAGGAGAGGAAATAGGATGGATAGAAATAAATAAATATGGACAGAAAATAATTCAATATTCCAGAAGTTTGGCTGTCAGGCTCTTGGGTGTACACCTCAATCTCTTCTCCTGAAGATATCATAATATAGTAGATAATTAAGCATAGCTATGCGTATATGATCCTGTATGGATATGAACCCACCTGTAGTATATCTTAGGCAAGTCTCCTCACAGCTTACCTCCATAGACCCAATTTAATTACTGATATAAAGCAAAATAATGCCAATAAAAGAGACTGAGAGGTCTCTAGCAGGTATGTTAGGGAAGCATTCAGCTAACAGAGAAGAGGTTCGCAAGACCTGCTCTCAGAACCAGGTACTACAGACATGCTTACAGCTTGCAAGTAAATTCCCTCACCACTCAGGCACACTTCCTAAATTAGATTCTGGGTTTCAAGTTTTTTCACTAAAATTCTTTGAAATATCCCCCAAAAGAACAAGTGAGAATTATGATACTTAAAAATGGAGAAAAAAAAACAAAACAAAACAAAAAAAAAACATTCTTCATGTGTTAGTCTGCACATTTCTCCTGCTAGCCTTCCTAATTTTAATGACTGCTTTGAAATCTGTATCCTTCAAACACCTCTTTTAATTCTGTTTTCAGGGCCTATTATTTTCAGTACTCTTCATCTTCATTCTTAAGTAAATTTTTGCCTCAAGTGTTGTCTCATGCAGAGCTTAATTCTTTGCAGCTCTATTACAGTTCAATCTATAAAGTCCATAGAAGCAGAGAGAACTAAACACCTTCCAAGTGCAAGGTCAATATAGTCACTTAAACAATATACACTATGGAACCGCATTTGAAAATATCTAACAGGATCTCAACAGATGTGCTTACAAATATATTTTGAGTTTTAGCAGTTTTCTTTAAAAGAACAAAAAGCTATTATAAAATATCCAAAACACAAAGATATTTTGTGGTGAATGCTAAACCTCGGTGACTACTAAATAAAATTTCCTAAAGCTATATACAAAGTTCTGTACACATATACCAAGCAAAATATACTTTAAAACATTTATAAAGTCTTTGCAATCTATTTTTGAATGTTACTGTTCACTTGAAATCAACTTCCCCTACCCCATTCACCTATGCTTACAACCATCATAAACTGTGGATGGTTGGTTAATAATGGATGTTTCTGAAATACTGTGAAATTCAGGAAGGAGCTATTTATTAATGTATGTTTCTGATTTGTGCTTGAACTCTAGAATATTTTAATCTCCAACTCATCACTTACTAAATAGAACATGTGATTCACTCAAATCACTAATAAACTAGATCAAGTGAAATTATAAAATTATATGAAGGGTATTTGTTGATGAAAAGTATACTGTCAAATAATTTTAAAGCTACAAACACCCTCCTCCAAAATTCTTGCAATTCATCATATTTAACAATAAAATTGACCTGCTAAAATAACTGCCATCTTTACTCAATTCAACTACATTCTTGTACATGTTTCTTCTTCATCAGGAACGAACAATTAGTAACAAATGAAAGAGATCATTACATCAAGTGCCCTTTTAGATCACCCCAATTAAAACTTTAGTTTAGCTGTATTTTAATTCTAAGATACCAAATTCTAATTTTCTGCTCTGATTGCTCTTGTTGACTTATCTTTGAAAGATGTACTCTCAGTGCAAAGCCTAGAGATTATTTAGCAAGCTGCCAATGTTGGCACCACTTAATGCGTTGATTGGTTGTATTATCAGTAGCAGTTTAAAATAAATTACTAGTAAATTATTATTGTCTTTGCCTGACAAAACACAATATTTTGGTGTTCTTTAAATATGAAACAATCATTATGAATAAACATGGAAAATAATGCTAGTGTAGCACTGATGTGTGTAACTTTGTATTAAGAATAGCTGCAAAGTGTGAAGCTGCTAAAAGCATATTACATTTTCTACACCATACTTCCTCCTCCAACCATTTAAAAAAAAAAAAAAAAACTTGCTGCTAACATAGCTAATGGTAATACATTACCTATTGCTGCTGATTATGTCTGAAAAATATTAGCTTTTTGAAGCCAAGACTCACTAGGGACTACTTATAAGCTACACAAAATTAAGTTTCATTTTTAGAAGTTAAATCAGTGCACATCAGTAGGCGTCCAATGTGAAAAAAAAAAAAGTCTGCATGAGAGCCAAACTGATGCATATGCAAAAGTACTGCTGTTGCCAATGACATCTCTAATGCAAAAATACTGGAAACATTCAATATCTCCCTTTATTTAATGCAGAAGGGGCTGAGAAAAGCAACTAAAAAGCAGAGCATCTAAAAATCATCAGTGCCCCTTGGAACAGGAATAGCAGTTGCATGAAATTCTATTAATTCTCCCAGTGGATCATCTGTAAAAGATTATACAAAATGCAGTATGTCCAACTTGTATTTGCTATGGCTAATCCTCTAACCTGATATTAAATCAATATGCTGCCAATGACAATGGGAAATGCAGTGCAACACAGGGCATTAACAAAAGGAAAATATTTCCCTTTAGGGAAGGTCAGATGTTACAGAGGCTGGATAATGATGATTGTAGTGAACATGCTCAGGTTCCAGATTTGTTTTTAATACAGTATCTGGAGCCAGGCTTTAAACATGGGATGTTATTCTTCCTCTCTCTGTCACTGTTAATATATATATATATTATTTCAGTGTAATATAAAACGTTGACATTTTTTCCCTGGAAAATTATAGTTAAATCTGGTTTTGGTTTGTTTACCCCATTTACTTGTTCTGATATTTTTCACTGATAAATTCTCCAGAAGTGTTCTAAATAAAAAGTTATGTTGATGTATGGTTGCTATTTCTTCCCATTCACTAACTAATGCATATCTCTAATACTTCTGAAAGCAGCATCGTGTTAGGACATTCTACTGATCCCTTTGAAATTAAACATTAAAGATATCTCAGCCTTAAAGCTGGTATTATCAATCACTATTAAACAACAACTATAATAATAATAATAATAATAATAATAATAATAATAATAATAATAATAATAATAATAATAAATGACTAAAAAAATGTGTGGTATATTTTCAAAGGGTAGGGAAAAAAAAAGTTGTATAGAAATTTTTCTCATTCTAGTTTCATCTACTGTGTGTTACAGGTAATAAACTTCAGTTAGCTACATAGCTATATGTGACTTAAAAATGGCCTTACTAGTTAATTCAGTGGTATGCCTAGAATATTTTTGTTTCCAGCAATTTCCCATAGTGAGTGAAAAAAGAAAACTAAAAGAATAAGGCATGAATGTAGAGAAGCATTTTGCATTTCCCATCAAATATCCCAGCTTCCAGAAATTTGTAATATATTAGCTATTCCTGCTGAAAACACTTGCAAATAACACTACTTCTCTTTTAGGTAGGAGATTGCATATAATTTGTGTGCTCTCATTATTGTTGGGCATTAAAAAAAAAAAAAAAAAAGTTTATTATATATTGTATTAACTTTCTTCCACAGGTAAAATTCTGCAATTTATAACTGAGTGCCAACTTAAGTAACATAAGCTAACACAGCTTGACTATCTCTACAGACAACTTTAGGAAGACATTTTTGTAGTATCTCAGTATCTCAGATTGAGTATCTCCATCACAGGTAAGTAAAGGCATATTGTACAAATATAAATGATATTTTTCATTAACATTTTCTGTGAGGAATAAATTTCTATTGCCTTTTAGCAGAAGACAAAAAAAAAAAAATTGAATTAAAGCAGTAATTTTTACTTTATCCAGTGTTTGTAATACTTTTCCCTTGTGTATTTAGTTGTAGATGGAAACAGTGCAGGAGACTCACAGCAATAAAACTAGTTGTTTGCTTTGTTTTCATAAGGGAATTTAGTTGATAATCATGTATTTATTTTATTAATATAAATGGGAGAGTTGCAACTTATTTTACATATTTCTTTTAAAAAAAATAGCAGCAAATTTTGTCAACACGATACAGTCTTGACAGAGAAATGTAGCTATTGGTGAAACTGATTCATCTATTAGATATTAATAGAAATTTTTCTCTGCGTTAAGACTGAATATTCAGATTCTAAAAGCCTAAATTAATATCACTATTACCCAGGAATATTGCAGTATTATGAAAGGCTGTGGCTGTAACAGACTTTGGCATAATTGGGCCATGACTTAAAATGGTGAGAGGTATGAAAACATCTTTAGCCTTCTCACTAGTACCCACATAGCATTTTGCTGTGACCCACCTTCCATCACCCTTCATCCACTCTGCAGCTGCACATAGACTTCCAGAATTTAATCTGGAAGAAATCAACAAATATACATTGTAAAGGAAAAGATATCACTTAATCAAAACTCTCTCAATAGGAAAATATTGCCCCTATCTAATTTATTTTGTGTTTATCTGATACTTGTTACAGTTAATTATTAATATCTCTGCAATCCCAGTAAGACTTATGTCTTCATTGTTCTGGATTCTGTATATTGTGATTATCTCCTCTTCAAATGTATAGATAATTAAATATTAAAGTTGTGGGTTTTGTTTGTTTGTTTGTTTTGTTTTGTTTTTTAATAAGTATTTATTAAGTCTAGTAGCTGGTATGTTGTTCTGCTTTGGATTTAGGATGAGAATAATGTTGATAACACACTGAGTTGTTGTTAAGCAGTGTTTATGGAGAGCCAAGTACTTTTCAGTTTCTCACACTGCCCTGTCAGAGAGGAAGCTGGGGATCTGCAAGAAGCTGTGAAGGGACACATCTAAGACAGCTGACCCAAACTGGCCTAAAGATATCCCATATCATATGATGTGATGCTTAACAATAAAACTGGGGGGAGTTTGATGGGGGAGGCAGAGGGAGAGAGGAACACCATTACTCAAGGTGGGCATCAGCTGGCTGGTGGTGAGCAATTGTGTTGTGCATTGCTTGTTTGTTTTGTTGTTTGTTTTAACATTTGTTGTTGTTATTGTTTTCATTTGTAGAGTTCTTTTTTTTTTTCTTTTCTTTTCTTATTAAACTGTCCTTATCTCAATCCATGAGTTCTTTCATTTTTCTTTTCAGTCTTCTCCCCATCCCACTGCGGGTTGCAGCGTAAGCAAATGTCTGTGTGGTGCTTAGCTGCCTGCTGGGTTAAACCACAACAGGTATTTATGGAGAAATAAAAAAAGACATGTTTATGATATTAAAAAGCATCTGATGACAGCTATAGCAAACGGACTTATCTAATACTAGCCTAGAATTATGGATTACTGATGAGGCATTATTCATTTACCTTTAATATGGATGGAAAACACAGACTTGCTTAGCATTTAGTGGACAATTTTAAAGACTGACTCAGACTTCTACAATGGAAGTAAGAGGACTAAGACACCAAGCTCAAGTGACAGCTGTCATCTAAGTTCTTCAACACCTTCAAGACTTTTGGCACTTTTTTTTTTTTCTCAAATATCAAAAGTGTTCACAAATTGTCTACTTACATACCCAAAAGCACCAACCCCATGGTCAGATTTAGGATCCCCCTAACCCTGACAAAGTTCAATACTACATTTTCTGTTTTCCATATTTTAAACCAGGACAAACATTACAGCTTCTGGAGACACCCATGTTCTCTGTGACACAGATCCTTCCTCTCACACAACTGAATAAACAGAGTGTATTACAACACAGGTATCTACCATTACATCCATACAGATTTGTGTAGACAGGGGTTGCTTGTCTATGTATTCATGTGATCCTCATAATCCTAAAATATAGGCATCCTCCATCACTGCATTTGGCAGGTCACCTAATGAAGATGTGCATTTCACAGGCAGACATATACCCATCCTATGAAAAGACACGTCTGTATTTTGGTCATGTGGGATCTTAGGAAAAAGGGAATGGTGTTTAGCAAAAATAAAAAACTAAAAACTAAAAACTAAAAAACTAAAAACTAAAAAACTAAAAAACTAAAAAACTAAAAAACTAAAAATAAAAACTAGTCCTTGATAGTTTTTAGCCTAGCTAGATTTGCTGTTATCTTATCTGTACTCAAAAGCACCTCAACAGCAGAGGCAGGGAACAAACTGTAGGCCAGATGATCTTTTCTAGAAAGTCAGATATGGTGCACTGTTGGTAACTTCTGTCATTAATGTTAGTAGAGCTGGAACAAGAGAATGGTGAGTGAGCTTACTACTCCATGTCTTCTTTGAATCCACACCTCTGCACTGAAAAGGATGCAAAATTAACCTGGGCCAAAGGAAAATAAAGAGGAATTGACTCATGTACTAGAGGCATCATAAATTTCAGGTGGTGCTTATGTGTTTCCTAACAAAGTCACAAACGATGTTACAAGCACTGGCCATAGTACAAAATTGTCCTGTTCCAAAAATCCTGTAAAGGAGTTTGAACTTGTAGTCAAATATGTAAAATTCACATCTGAAAGTGTCAGTATCAAAGAGCATAGTTCACCTGTTTGTCTGAGGTAGCCTCCTCTCATTATAAGAAACACTGAAAATGGAAACCATTTCTACGTCACCAATTAAAGAAACTGTCACTGTTGTGTAGAGGTTATTGTAACAGACTCTACTGTTTTAAAGAGAATACTTAACTATTTCTACACAGTTAGGAAAATAATTATATCGATATATAATTATATTTATAATGTCTGTCTATATAGAGAGACAGAAAAATGTTGTTTTTTTTTTTTAAGTAGTCCTGATGGAGATGAAATGTATGGAGAAAAAAAATTAAAAATTATGTCTTGATATTATGTGAAAGAATTCCCAGAGCTCTGTGGGAATGATGTAGTGAGACATGGGAACAAAGTGAAAAAATCCAAAGGGCTTTAAAACCCACCTGTTTACCATGACTGGTGATTTGTCATGATGTGGAAACTCAAAGCAAGGAGCAGAAGTAGAAAAATAAAAATAAAATAAAATAAAATAAAATAAAAAAATAATAAGTCATGATCTTTCCTTTAATCTCTTCAACATATAAGACTAGTTTAAGAAAAAGGAAAAAAAAAAAAAAAAAGCAATAAAGCAATTCCTGAATTTCACATTCACATTTTCTGTAAGTCAAAACTGAATGCATTCTTGGCAAATTAATCCTAGTCATTTATCCTGAAGTACTGCAGTACTTTCATATTCAATCACAAGATTAGCTAACCTGTTGATGCTGAATGCTCTGCTCATTAGGTTGCTGTCTAGAGACATTGAGTGCACACATTTGTCAAAAAAATTACTAGGAACTTTCCTGTACATGCATGCATAGCCAAAACATTACATACTGTACTAACTGTCTTTCTTCCTCTGGGGAAAAAAAAAAAAAAAAAAAAAAAGTTCTTTACAGATTACAACAGACCTGTGAGAAGAATGAGAAGAATACTATATTTCGCAGAATTACCTTGTTTTATGATTTTAATATCCTAAAAGCATAATCACAAATGCCTAAACTATCAGTTTAGGCAAATACAGCAGTACTCAATCGCTAGAAATTTCTATAAATTCTTAAATGGCATGGTTTTTTTTTGCTTTTGTTTGTTTGTTTGTTTGTTTTATGATCAGATCTCAAAATATCACTAATGAAAATATCATACACTTGTTTCATAAAACAAGTCTGAAGTGTCATAAACTTGAAGATTACTTAAGAGAGTAAAATGAACAGTATTTGGCCCTACTTTGTGTAGTGTTTGCTGAGTATAATAGAATTGATCTGATGCATTTACACAAATGAGCAGAAAAAAAAAGTATTGTAAAAATTACTTTATAAGTTATAAGCTGCACAAACAAGGCTTATCTATAATGAATACAATATGGCTGCATTATTTCCTGCACTATCATTTTGCTTCTGCATGCAACATACAACTATATTGTTGCAAAAATTCCATCTGGAAAACACATGTTCATTGAATTTGTGGACAAAAAAGATCTTCATTCTAATATAAAACACTAACATCTTGGCTTCATGCTATACGCAAGTGTACACCTTGAACGATATTTGAATCAGACTGTACTGTACACTCAATAGACATGCTGACTACCCACAGGAAATCTGCAGAAAATTTGATAATACCCTTTGAAGTCTATTCTTTGAAGACAGTATTTTAAGTTAAATGAGCTTATTTATAAAAGAAGTGGTGTTTTTTTGTGTGTGTGTGTGTGTTTTTTTTTTTTTTTTTTTTTTTTTTTTGTGAATATTTCTATGGGAGACACATTTCAAATAGCTTTAACTATCATTTCCACCTTGGCACTCCAGCAATTTAAAATAACTATTTATTAAAGAAAAGTTTCTCTGCTTAGTTAATGAGATAAACTTAAACAGTAAGATACATTTCATTAGCCTGTAATAAAAAGAGCATTTAAGATAAATGTTGTTAAACACACCAATGTCATTTTCACTGAATACTCTGCTGTGGTTTAATACACAATCTATTTTTATGTACTGTATCTGACAGCTTCTAAATTCATTTTTTGTTGTGATTCCTTTAAATCTTAAATTACTAGAAAGTTTCAGTAAATTTGTTGATCCAAATAATCTTATAAACTGATTAGGCAAGAATGGTTGTATTAATTTAGACAAAACTGAACAACTGGCTCCTCTCCATCCCTTTAAGCTGCTGTACAGAAAGGCCTACCTGGATGTTAGTCAGAAGGGTCTCTATGGATGACAATCCATCTGGGAATAGAAATGGAGATGGAAAACCTGGAGGTAGTGGTTGCCCATGCCCAGTTAGAGAAAGTTTGTCAAGGCTGTCTCTTGCGGTTGGTGTGGAGAGCGGGGTCTCATCTGTATGTGATTGAAACAAAAATATAGAACAAGTTACGCTTGTCTGTTTTTATTAGACCTCAGTAATGGCTTCCCTAGTGGTTTCCAGAACATTTATTGCAAATTGGTTCCTGCTATCAGGAGAAAATGCTTTCTGCTGAATTTTCTTTAATGAAAAAGCTGTGGAGATACAACAAGATAACATTAATGAGTAACTTTATAAGCCTTTTAAATGCAGTCTCTAATGAGACTGAGTTTACAGTGCCATAGAATCTTTTTAAAACAAATATTATCTCACATATACTTGTGATAATATATTCAGACTGACTTTATGGGCACCTTCCCAATTATCTCATTTTAGTTCTTGTTCTATTTGGAGTAACAATAGAATATTTTCTAGCATGACATATATTGTGTATAGTAGAAGTATTTGAATACAAGGCTTCCCACACAATTAACCCTTCCCATTCTTAATGTTTTCATTTACATCTCAGAAGATTCTGCAACACAGAGAATATCTACAAATCTTCAATGCATTATTAATCAAGAAAGTATACCTGATTCCCACAATGAAAACATACTCTGAACAATAAATGATATTAACAGCATGGTTACAATTACTGCCTTTTCTTTTTTTTTTTTTTAAACACAGATATTTTCTAACAATTAGTGTTCAATTCCTTAGTGAGATCATAACAATCAGATTTGATCGGCTGTCACATCAAAACAGGAAAAACTCCCCCAGCTTGAAGACCACTAAGATTAACATGTCACAGATAATCTGTGAATGGATTATAAAGTGCAGAAATTAAAAAAAAATAGAGGCTTCAATACACTTTTTTTTTCTTCCTTTTTCTTTTTAATATTTGAAGTATTTTTAGACTACTGTTAATATGATATGGTATAGAAATTTAGGTCAACGTCTTTGTACTAGATGTTAATCTGAATTCTTCAAAAGGAAAACTATCTATACATATATTTAGATGCATATATCTCTACATACTTTTCTTACCAAGGGCACAGTCATTAACTGACACATATTCATGTATCTCAATACAATTCAAGGGCATTAGAATGTATTCTTTACGTTATTACAGAACTCTGCACACCTGTTTGACTACAGAAGAGTTTGCCAGACTTGCACTATATGAAAATCTTGATATTATTTTCCTAAAAAGATCTCTCTCTTCAAACGAGGTGTTGTATTTTCTAAAGTGGAAATAGTCTAAGGACAGGAAAATTTAAATCCATTGCAAGAGAGGGTTAAAGTTTAAGTTTCAACAATCCTGGATAGACAAAAAAAAAACTGTAACTCCAAGCCCCAGTTCATTCCAACAGTCCATTTCCAGCAACACTCCATACAGAAGCAATCTCTGGCAACCATTTTTAGGTGCAGTCTTCTTGTCCCATCTCTTTGACAACTCAGTTGTGCTGGCCAGCGCTGAATGGTGCTAAAAGCCTCACCCATTATATCCCTGCACAGAAATGCTAAAACAGGTTTCTGGGCTTGTCCCACTTAGTACTTTCTGTAGTTAGTGGAAAGAAACATACAGCATTTTAAGGCACTAATCCATCTGATCTATTATAGTCATCATGTGGATGCATCAAAAGGCAAATCTTCCTCTAGAAGTGCCTGCTGACTTTATGAGGAGCATCAGCTGACATGCTCTATGGAAAGGATCTGAAAAATGTACTCTATAAATCCATCCTCTGTCTTCATGGTACCTCATAACAACATGGATATCTCTGTAGTCATTTTAAAACAACATACTGAAATTTGGCCCCAAAAATGAATTGTTTCTTTTCTTCACAACTTTTAAAATGTTATAGACATATTCACCATATTAGAAAAAATGGATAAATAAGTCAGGTATTCCCAGGTGTCGATAAACACTGCACAGTACTATTTTTGTTTGCTGCAAATATGGCTTTCCCAAATGTTTCCTATGCAATGTTAAAAATAAATAAATTTATTTAAAATATATTTGAAATTTTAATATAAATAAAAAATAATTAAAAAATAAATTTAAATTTAATAATTTAATTTAAATAAAAAATATTTAAATTTATCCCAATTAATGTATTGGATTTGCATGATATAGAAAGAATAGTATGCATCATTGAATTGATTCATAAAAATGCGAAAGTATGCCATACGTTTGTCACAAAAAATCTCTCATCTCTTCTGAAAAAACTTAAAATCTTGCTAATATTTTAGGTCTCAAACTGTCAAAATATTTTAAAACATACTAGATAAAATTCATCCACTTAAAAAATCCATAGATTTTAATATGCTTAAAAACTGTGCTGTTCCATGCAGTTGTTGAGATACAGAAAGCTGCTAACACAGGCATTATCAGAGAATTTAGGCAAGGGATTATATTTTCTATTGCATACTTTAAATATAAATATATGTTGTTTACTGTACATTGCACATACTCAAGGCATGTTTGCAGAGGTTTTCTTAACAATGTCTGGCACAATTTTTTATTTTGCTATTTTCCAATAGGCAAAATAACTCAAAGAAGTTACAGTTATGCAGAATGGTATGAACTCAAAATAACATCCAAACTCTTATGTTATAATAAATAACAGAAACAAATTTACACTGAAGGGTAAGACTAGAGAGCTGAACTTACTATGAACTTATTTTAATGAAACTTAAACTCAGAAGAAAAAAAGTCAGACTAATGTGACTTTGTTTTCTTGATGTCCCATGTGAAATAAACTCTGAATGTTTGTTTGGTTGAGCATTTGAATGTTTGAAACAGAGCAAATGTACATTATTATACACAGGAAGTATGAATATTTGTGGATGTGAGATAAAAAAAATGATTGAGGGAATCTTGAAAAAATGCATTTTTGAGAAAAAAGACATTGTAAACACAGGCAATTAAAACATAACAACATATCTCAGTAGAAAAATAAAATGATCACTTGACATTAAAGCATTTAAAAATCTTCCATTACTGAAGAAGTTACCTTTTCTCAATACAGTGGTATACCTTTGTTTCCAAATAATCATTAACCTAGAATCTTTTAAACTGTTAAAGAGGAAATACTAATTGTCATTAACCTACTGATGGAATAACAATGCAGAAATGATAAAACCTTGCTGGGAGACAGAGATCTGTCACTTTTAGTCTGAACAAATCAAAGAAAGCAAATGAAGACAAGTCAGGGAAAGAGGGGAACGGGGGTCAATCTGCTACTCCATTGTCAGAGCTAGGAGCACAACAGTATTAGAACAAAGAAGTGTCCAGGCCTGCCTTTGCTTGTGCTGAGAACTGAGATGTTATAAATTTAAAATAAATAAATAAATAAATGCAAATAAAAATAAGACAAGCTGTTACTGAAAACTCTATAGTATCTGAACAGAGATGAATCTGTGCCTTGGATGTAAGAACTAAATCACCATAATAGGCAAGTCTGAAAACAACACATATCTTTAAACTATTTGCAAATGCTACATCTACTAAACCCATTGTTCCTCATTTTCAAAAATTCACCTGTTTTTTTTCAAACCAGATCTTATCTGAACAGCAGCTGGTTTGGGCCAAATACATCTAGGATTTTTCACTGTATTTGGTTTGTTGGCATTCTATTTTGTTCTTTCACTAGATAATATAGAAACAGACATCCTGGAAGCTGTGACAGCTATTTAAACAATAATGGATGAACGGATGTAGTCATTCTGTTGTCTGTGTTCCTAAAAGCAAGTAGGATAAGTTGAGACTGGTCACCAATCAGACTGGAGAATGTTTATATTGCCAGGATTTGAAAGCAAGAGATAATGACTGGCTCAAAATACACTTTACAGATTACTGCCTTTCTGTAATCATTTAATGGCTCTTTGTAATGCATCTTTATGTGTTTGGTTTTTTGTTGTTGTTGTTTGTTTTTTTGTTTTGTTTTGTTTTGTTTTTCTCTGTAAAATAATTCATATATGTTTGTTTCTAAAACAAGCCCATTCTTAGCATTTGAATGATGAAAGAGGATCCTATTTTTACTGTCATAAATCTAGTAAATATATTTTTTGTGGAAACAATCTATTCCATTTTGCAAATTATGATTTTGGTTTACATTGTCGAATATCCCTCAATAAAAAGTTTTTTCTATAAGTCTGTACTTCACCTTCCTTGGAGTTAGAGCTTTTAGGTTTGAGAAGCTCTTTTATTTAAATTAATCTCTAACTGTTGATTAATATTACAGTGGAAGAAGAGGGGTCCCACATTTACTGATGACAGAGCAAGCAAGCAAGCAAGAGTGAGAAAGCAAGGAAAGACAGAAAGACAGACAGAAAGAAAGAAAGAAAGAAACAAACAAACAAACAAACAAACAAAGAGAGAGAAAGGAAAAAAAGAGTGAGAAAGGGAAAGGGAAAAGGAAAGGGAAAGGGAAAGGGAAAGGGAAAGGGAAAGGGAAAGAAGGAAAGAAGGAAGGAAACTTCTTGCTGAGTTCCCATATCATTTGTCTGCTCTATAGTTTCCGGCCTTCAAGATTCACCCTGCACATAAGTAGGAACAATCTGAGATGATAGTGAAGATTGTTACAAGCTGTAAAAGGAAGATGCCAGAAAACTTTTGCAAAACACTTTTCTTCCCCCACCCCCCATTTTTAATGCATTTCAGTTTCATCTTTTTATGTCAAGCATAGTTCTACAGGATACTAAAAATTAAAACTTTGCAACTGTGGCAAGCATAGTTGTGTCTGTACCGTTTCAAAGAGGCTGGAGTTCTCATGATTAACAGTGCCATTGCAATTGCTCTCCATCTAGTTCTGTTTGTTGGCTTGATGTGTTGACTTTGCGTTAATGAAATATGACTAAAAGATTAAAAGCTTACAATGAAAGGACCACAGCTACAAAGAATATTTCTTTGATGTATACATTGGACACAATAGCTTTGTACCTTTTTGCCAACACAGATTTGTGCAAATATGTCTTAGAGAACATATATGTCTGCATACCACTCATAACAATTACAGATAAAAAAAAAATAAAAATGGTAAGAGTAGTTTTT